TCATCATTACTTCACAAAACAAACCCATCAGAGAGATAGCAAAAACATTAGGCGTGGCCAAAACAACTGTTTGGAACATTCTTAAAAAGAAAAAAAAACGCACCAGTGAGCTCAGCAACACCAAAAGACCCGGAAGACCACGGAAAACAACTGTGGTGGATGACCGAAGAATTCTTTCCCTGGTGAAGAAAACACCCTTCACAACAGTTGGCCAGATCAAGAACACTCTCCAGGAGGTAGGTGTATGTGTGTCAAAGTCAACAATCAAGAGAAGACTTCACCAGAGTGACTATAGAGGGTTCACCACAAGATGTAAACCATTGGTGAGCCTCAAAAACAGGAAGGCCAGATTAGAGTTTGACAAACGACGACATCTAAAAAAGCCTTCACAGTTCTGGAACAACATCCTATGGACAGATGAGACCAAGATCAACTTGTACCAGAGTGATGGGAAGAGAAGAGTATGGCGAAGGAAAGGAACTGCTCATGATCCTAAGCATACCACCTCATCAGTGAAGCATGGCGGTGGTAGTGTCATGGCGTGGGCATGTATGGCTGTCAATGGAACTGGTTCTCTTGTATTTATTGACGATGTGACTGCTGACAAAAGCAGCAGGATGAATTCTGAAGTGTTTCGGGCAATATTATCTGCTCATATTCAGCCAAATGCTTCAGAACTCATTGGACGCCGCTTCACAGTGCAGATGGACAATGACCCAAAGCATACTGCAAAAGCAACCAAAGAGTTTAAGGGAAAGAAGTGGAATGTTATGCAATGGCCAAGTCAATCACCTGACCCGAATCCGATTGAGCATGCATTTCACTTGCTGAAGACAAAACTGAAGGGAAAATGCCCCAAGAACAAGCAGGAACTGAAGACAGTTGCAGTAGAGGCCTGGCAGAGCATCACCAGGGATGAAACCCAGCGTCTGGTGATGTCTATGCGTTCCAGACTTCAGGCTGTAATTGACTGCAAAGGATTTGCAACCAAGTATTAAAAAGTGAAAGTTTGATTTATGATTATTATTCTGTCCCATTACTTTTGGTCCCTTAACAAGTGGGAGGCACATATGGAAACTGTTGTAATTCCTACACCGTTCACCTGATTTGGATGTAAATACCCTCAAATTAAAGATGACAGTCTGCAGTTAAAGCACATCTTCTTAATTTCATTTTACATCCATTGTGGTGGTGTATAGAGCCAAAAATGTTAGAATTGTGTCAATGTCCCAATATTTATGGACCTGACTGTATCTAGTCCTGAAATTTACAAAGCCCTGCAAGATGGCAAAGCCAAGCCCATGACACCATTATTACAAGTAAAGAATACAGTGGTGTCATCCATTTAATCTAAGCCTGTGACTGGACACTGAAGGAACAGCAGCAAACTGATAAGGTAATCTCTCTGCTCACTCCATACTCTCCTCCCATCATGATCATTGTCAGCAGATTTGCATGTAACATACCTCTTTGGGAGAGGGAGGAGCATTACTTGAAGCCAATCAATAGTAAGTGCTGCTATATGGAGGATGAAAAGGAGGCAAGATGTACTCAGGTACTTGCACTAGTTTCATTTCAAATATCTATGTCCTCAAACCATATGCAAAAAAGTGAAAAAATATGTAATAAATACCTTAACCAAATAACATATGAAATTTACTTAATTAGAAAAAATCCGTGATTATACTGAAATAAAATCAGTGATTAAAGAGTACCTAAATTAATATTACTACACTTATATAAAAAGAAATATTTTTATTAATACTTTTTATTTTATTATATATATTTTTTATTTTTTCGTTTTTATAATATGTGTATTAAATTTTGTATTATTTAATTAAAATTTATTTAATATTATAATTATGTTTAGTATAATCAAATATTTGTATATCCCATATATGGGAAGGCTAGTATTATTGCACGCTAATTTTTAAGTAAAAAACTTGTCTATGTATTTAGAAAGATTGATAGTATCCACGCTGACTACGGAATCATGCTACTTTGTATCCCTCCGTGATGATTAATGTGGTATTAACAACATATGTAGCAAAAGGAGATAACGTCAATAGAATAGATTTGCCTCCAGCAAAATGGCTGCCCCCTGTAGATAGTCAATAAAATGGCGGAGCCGTGCTTTATAAGCCGGCAATGGGAGAGTGACGGACCAATCAAATCCCCCTGATGAAGCCACGTGATCAGTGGCGTAACGCGTAGGGGTGGGACTGCAACGTCACTCGGAGGGAGTCAGTTCGTTTACCGGACCACGGGTGCATGCCTCTTATAGTCAGCGGAGGACTCGGTCTACATTGTGATACGCTTTTATATGAAAACAACACATGTGAGTGTAATACTTGGAGTCAATAAAGCCAATCTTTAAAAAGGATAAAACACTATGTTTAGATCTTTTTCCTATGTGGAGAGTCGTATGGAGATGAGAGTATAGAGGAGTTGAATCCTCTGGAGAAGGGATCAATCCCAGAGCATATATCAGTAACAACGGATATCCATTATTCCAAAAGAAAGAGTCTTAATCAAGCAGGTTCCATAGGAGGAGAACCGAAAGCGCATATAGCCTAATTATAGGCAGATAAGGAGGTGAGCGTACATCTGCACTAATGGGAGGATTCACAATCAGTCACGGATTCACATGCAATTATGGATTGAAGATCAATTAAAGCACACAGTCACTTTTATTATATGGGACACTGTTTTCACAGATATATCAATTAATTTTATTTATTCATACTTATTTAAATCATTTATTTCTTTTTATATAAGTGTAGTAATATTAATTTAGGTACTCTTTAATCACTGATTTTATTTCAGTATAATCACGGATTTTTTCTAATTAAGTAAATTTCATATGTTATTTGGTTAAGGTATTTATTACATATTTTTTCACTTTTTTGCATATGGTTTGAGGACATAGATCAGTGATTATATATATGTTTTGGGAGCGCAACATTATAGGGTTATATTCACAATTTTTTACACATTGGTAGTTTATGTGTTAGATGTTTGCGATCCTACCATATAGAGGATATACATTTTTATGTTGTATATTAGGGTGATCTTTTGTTTTTTGGCTCGCAAGATATTTTTAAATATTTCATTTCAAATATACATTAAAAAAAAAAAAAAAAAAAAAAAAAAAAAAAAAAAAAAAAGGGGGGGGGGGGGGGGGGGGGGGGGGGGGGGGGGGGAAGAAGTTTGGGGTAAAGCAACACAAGAAAAAACAAAACCAAAAAAACACCCCATAAATATTAATCTTCATGCTTCAGAATTGGTCTGCAGCTGTCCCCCCGATGGCTTTAAGCTCAAGAACTCAGCTCTTGGAGTGGAGGACAGTGACTGCCAGTCTTTGTCCATCAGCCACATGCTGAGAGCTGGAGTCAGTTTTCAGGCAATATGGCCAGGATCCTTCCAGAGCCAGCAGCGGCTGACATCAGCGGACAGTGGGCTTTAGCTTATTCTGAGTCACAGGAGAACAAGAGTAGGTGCTTTCCTGTGACCCACAAGAGAACTATGGCCAAAAGAGCTTTATAGACATACTTCTCTTTTACAGGGTTTATTAATAAGAAAAATGGAGCTGCATAAATGTAGGGTTTTATTAACCATTTCAATACCGGGCAAATTTTACACCTTCCTGCCCAGGCCATTTTTCACGTTTCAGCGCTCTCACACTTTGAATGACAATTGCGCGGTCATACAACATTGTACCCAAACTAAAATGTTATCATTTTCTTCACACAACTAGAGCTTTCTTTTGGTGGTATTTAATCACCGCTGGGGTTTTTATTTTTGCTAAATTAACAAAAAAAAAGGCCAAAAATTTTGAAAATAAAATACGTTTTTCTTTGTTTCGGTTATAAAAGTTTACAAATAAATAATTGTTCATAAATTTAGGCCGAGATGTATTCTGCTACATGTCTTTGGTGAAAATAACCCAAATTAGGATGTATTATTTAGTTTGTAGGAAACTATGGTATAGATCAATCCTGAAGTACCGACAGCCAATCTAATTTCTTGAGGTCCAAGAATGTCAGAACAGTACAGATATCCCCAAATGACCCCTTTTTGCAGAGTAGACAGTCCGATGTACTTCATAAGAGGAATGGCGAGTTTTTTGAAGTTGTATTTGTCATAATTTTTTGGAAAATGAAAAAAATGAAAAAAACTTTTTTTTTTTTTTTTTTTTTTTTTTTTTTTTTTTTTTTTTTTTTTTTTTTTTTTTTTTACACACAATTTGCTTATAGCAAAGAATTACTTTGCTATAAGCAAGCATTTACCTGAATGAAATCGATTCATTCAGGTTTTTTTTTTTTTTGTGCTTGTCATGCGATTAGCTGTGGCCAAATCACAGCTATGTGCATGTGACCTGCTGTGACCATTCACAGCTAGACACTAGTATACAATGGATGGCATGAATGAAGCCATCCATTGTATACAACTGTCATGTGACCTGCTGTGATTGGTCACAGCAGGTCACATGGTACCGGCAACGGGGGCCGGTACTCAGATCTGTCATGGGCCGTGTCCAAGGTACACGGCCGGTGACAGATCGCACCGCTGCACGGCTCTGCAACCGCGCGAACTGCGTATGTGCGGGAGAACGCCAAATGGCGTGCACCTGGAAAGCTAGAGCATTCTTGCGGCCGCCAAACAGCTATAGGCTGGGCGGCTAATGGTTAATATCTGGAGTTCAGCTTTAAAACAAAAAAATATTTCTAATTACAAATATTTTCCGTGTATGTTGGGTAATAAATTTTAGTTTTGTAAACCCTTTCCTATCTGGCAAAATAGAATGCTATTTAAAATGCCAAAATGCTATACAAAAAGCACAAAATACAAGACATTTTCACACATAAAAAAATAAATAAATAAATCTGAACAGCAATTGAGAGAAAGAGAGACTTATACCAGAGTTGCAGAGATGTACAAGAGGAAAGAACAAAAAAAAAAAAAAAATAAACAAAACACACCACACAAAAATATGTCACCTTTAAGGCACCACAAAGTTCCACAGTATCTGCATCGTCCACCACAGTTATACGGAAATTCGGGGTCTGCAGAAGTTCTTTAAATAAAAACCCATGTTCAAGCACTTTGCTCCCTGGATAAAAACAATGTACTGCATTAAAAAAAAAAAAAACATTCCGCAAAGTTTGTTTCACAAAACAGATGTCCATTAAATGCTTCTCAAATCTGAAACAATTTTTTTTTTTTTTTTTTTAAGAAAACAAAATACTGTACTTGCTTTGTAAGAAGGCCAACTAAACTATTTACATTCATGGTTGGTGTGTACATGTCATCTAGGATTTCTCATCTACACATGCTGAGGGGCTCCACAGTTCAGAACTGATGTGGAAATAATAAACTTTGCTTAAGTTCTGGTGTGGGTCCTGGAGCCCAGAGGCTTTGTAGAGCTCTAGATGGGAATAAGTCTCCATTGCTAGCTCCACATCTTATCTGGTAGTCACATCTCAGTTTCAGCTGTTCAAAAGGCCTTTAACCACTTGCCTACTTTCACTTATACCCCCTTCCTGTCCAGGCCAATTTTCAGCTTTCAGCGCTGTCACACTTTGAATGATAATTGCACGGTTATCCAACACTGTAACCATATGAAATTTTTTTTTTTTTTTTTGAGACAGAGCTTTCTTTTGGTGGTATTTAATCACCTCTGGTTTTTACATTTTTTTGTTAAACCAAAATGAACTGAAAATGTTGAAGAAAAAAAAACAAAAAAAAACCCCACAAAAAACAAACCCCAAAACTCTTAGTTTCGGTTTAAAGTTTTGTAAATAAGTGATTTTTCTCCTTCACTGACGTGCGCTAATGAAGCTGCACTGATGGATAGCACTCATGGCACTGATATGTGGCAGTGATGTGCCCTGGTAGGCACTGGCAAGTGGCATTGATGGGGCTACACTGGTCATCAGTGCTCTGATGATCAGTGTACATGCCCCCTCTGAGTAATGCAGATTACCAGCTCTCCTCTCGAGCTGTCAGCGTGACAGTTCGTGAGGAGAGAAATGCCGATAACCGGTATTTTCCTATATTACATGCGATAAGCTGTGATTCAAGGGCTCAAATGTAGTTGGACAAATGAATATAATCAAACATAAAATGTTCATTTTTAATATTTTGTTGAGAATCCTTTACTGGCAATGACTGCCTGAAGTCTGGAACCCATGGACATTACCAAAGACTGGGTTTCCTTCTTTCTGATGCTTTGCCAGGCTCTAACTGCAGCTGTCTTCAGTTGTCCTTTGTTTGTGGGTCTTTCTGCCTTTAGTTTTGCCTTCAGCAAGTGAAATGCATGCTCAATTGGGTTGAGATCAGGTGATTGACTCGGCCATTGCAGAATATTCCACTTCTTTTCCTTCAAAAGCTCCTGGGTTGCTTTTGCAGTGAGTTTTGGATCTTTTTCCATCTTTACTGTGAAGCGCCGTCCAATCAACTTTGTTGCATTATACTGAATCTGGGGTGACAGTATCTCTAAACACTGCAGAATTCATCCGGCTGCTTCTGTCACATCATCAATAAACACCATTGACCCAGTGCCACTGGAAACCATGCATGCCCATGCCATCACACTGCCTCCACCATGTTTTACAGATGATGTGTGCTTTGGATTGTGAGCTGTTTCCAAGCCTTCTCCACACTTTTTCTTCCAGTCATTCTGATACAGATGAATCTTAGTTTCATCCATCCAAAGAATGCTTTTCTAGAACTGGTCTGGCTATTTTTAGATTTTTTTTGGCAAAGTCTAATCTGGCTTTCTTTACCATAGAGAGGATCCTGCGGTCATCCAAAACGGTTGTCTTCCGTGGACTTCGATGCCTTTTTATGTTGCGGAGCTCACCAGTGCGTTCTTCTTTCCTCAGAATGTACCAAACTGTTGAATTGGCCACTCCTAATGTTTGTGTTGCTGCTGCCTCTCCGATGGATTTATTTAGTTTTTGAAGCCCTACAATGGCCTGTTTCACTTGCATGTACAGCTCCTTTGAACGCATGATGTACTTTTGGTCCCCCACCCCCAAAGAAAAAAAAAAAAAAAAGAAAAAAAAAAAAAAAAAAAAAGGGGGGGGGGGGGGGGGTTGGCTACTCTTAAGAGCTATACTTCCTAAACCCTTCCTCCAGATTAAACCTGAGAGTGTGCACTTTCAGCCCATATCCATTGTATAACTATAGCCTGGATATGTTTTGGTAAATACCTAGGAAAAAAAAAAAAAAAACTAAAAATTGTGTTCATGTCCAAATATATATGGACCTGTGTGTATAATATATAATTACACACACTTAAAGTGATGCTAAACCCAGGACACTGCATTCGCTATATCTGGTCTCCCACAGTACACACAAAATGGAAATGCAATTAATTTAGTAAATATAAACTGCTAAATACTTTCATCAACAGTTAGAGCAGTCTTGTGACTTCAGCAGAGCACTGGTTAAAGATTGTAGGAGTTCTCTCTGCTCTAGGAAATGTGAAACCCCTGACCCTCTGTCTGGACAGTACCGATTGGCCATGTGCTGATCACATGCACTCTCCCAAGAAGAAAGAAAAAAAAAAAAAAAAATACATCCTCTAACAATACACACCAAATTGAGCATGTGCATGCGACTACAGATTAAGTCTGTATCAAGCAGTCATTTCAACAAGGAGGGGCAGAGAAGAAAGGAAGGATCAAACAGCCTTTACAAAAATGCGAAGGATTCACCCCTTAGGTTCCACAGCGAGTATAACAAGCATGCTTTACTGCATATACAGACTGATTTTACGGTTGTGGGCTTAGTAACACTGTAAATGTGAGGTAAAATTAATTTTAGTGTATTTATTCCCCCCCGAAAATTTTATTCTACAGGACTTGCTTTCAGAAAATATGTATTCTAGTAAAAAGATGACTTTACCATGTGTGAAAAAAAATAAAATAAATAAATATTACCGTGGACAGAAAAGTAGTTAAGATGGCTGTACCCTTAGTCCCAATGTAGAAATACCAGTCTAATCAAGTTTATGGTGTATCACTGTGCAGGCACGGCTAACACCAGATAAGATTTATGGTCGCAAGATTTAAACAATCGGAAGAGGTCACTGTTGAGCGAGAATTGAGAGGTTCTAGGTTACAGTATATTATGCAAGACGGGTTGGGGATCCGCTAGTAGATTTTACTAAGAAAGTGAAATATACACACAATTTAGTTCCCATTTCTCTTCTTCCCAAAACTAGCCTCCCCTTTTCCTATGCCCTTTAGAATGCCCACTCTGTCTGCAACAAACTCACCTCTGTCCATAACCTCTGGAATTCCTTTAATCACGAATTCCTTTAATCTACTTGATGTTGCAGAAACCTGGCTTCATAAATCCAACACTGCTTCTCCTGCTTTCCTCTCCCATGGTGGCCTTTTCTGGATTCGCTCCCCCAGATGCAGTTGACAGAAAGGAGGTGGAGTGGGAATCCTCCTATTCCCAGAGAGCACCTTTCAGGTTCTTCATTCTCCTCCTTCTCCGTCCCTCATAGTTTGAAGCTCGCTGTATATGTCTATTTTCTCCAATGTCTAAAGTATTGTTGTGATCTACCGGCCCCTGGACCAATATCAACTTCCCTTGATGACTTCTCTGCCTGGTTACCCTACTTTCTCTCTTCTGAAATTCCCACAATCTCAATGACGTTAATATTCCTGTTAATACTAACACTCCTGCTACTTCTAAAGGTCTCAATTTAACTTCTACTTTTGACCTGAAGCAATGGGTACATGCTTCTACTCACTCTGATGGTAACACCCTTGACCTTGTATTCTCCTACCTATGCACTCCACGCAATCTCTCAGACAATCCTTTTCCTCTCTAATCACCACCCAGGGACGGACTGGCCATTTGGAAACTCGGGCAATGCCCGAGGGCCCGGGGTCAGTAGGGGGCCCCATGAGATGCCCCTGGTACCTTTTTCATAGGCTTTTTTGAGTTTGGGCAAGGACACAGGGGCCCCATGATCCCCTATTGCCCGGGGGCCCCACGAGTTGTCAGTCCGCCCGTCACCACCTAGTTAGTTTCACTCGCTCCCTGTCTTCTGCCTCCTCTCCCTCCAACCGCCTAACAATTATCTGTAGAGACCTTTGCCTCTCTTTTCTCTATTCTGCTACCGACTACCTCTGACAAAATCTCACCCCCGTCCTGCCCCAATCTAACCACTTCTGTCTACAACAGATTCCTGTCCTCCGCCATGGACGAGTTCGACCCCTTTATTACACACAGAATCAGGCCCAGAACCCTGGCAAAGAGAATGCCAGAAGTCTCAAAAAACGTAGACGTGATCTTGAGCATCTGTGGTGTAGTCTCAAAGATTTCACCCAATATAAATCTGCCCTAAAAAAATACAATATCAAGACCTCCTACTCTCTAGCTCCCTTGTCACTTCCCATGATCGCCTGCAGGACTTCTCCCGAGCATCTCCCATCCTATGAAACTCCCTACCCTAATTTGTCCGACTGTCTCCTACTCTGTCCACCTTTAGGCACTCTCTGAAAACCCTTCTGTTCAAAAGATGCCTATCCTGCCTCCAGCTAACAACTGTATTACCACTTTCTCCATCAGCTTATCCCCCATAGTTACTACCATTTGTATCACTTTACCCTGCCTTTTAGATTGTTAGTTCTAACTTACAGGGCCCTCTTGATTCCTCCTGTATTGAATTGTATTGTAACTGTACTGTCTGCCTTCATGTTGAAAAGCACTGTGCAAACTGTTGGTGCTATATAAATCCTGAATAATAATAATAAATAATTTCAAGGATCAGCAAAATCACCAATTTCCCTGCCTCCAATTACACTTCCAAGTTCTGCTGTCCTACACATTGGGTTGAGTATTCCCAAAGACACCTGAACATGAAAAAATAGGTAGAGGGAGTTGCAGTATTTTGGGTCACAGTAGATAAGGGGACAGTTATAAAATACCCAACACCCACTTAGCCTTTCCAGATTTCCCCAAAAAAGAAAAAAATCACTGAATCTCTCTCTCAAAGAAAGGGCACAATTATAATGCAGCTGAACATGCAGTATTAAAAAAAATACATCAACTACAACTTTAATGACCATTATAATATACATATTAAATAAACCTGAATAATTTTTATGGGTGTCACATTATTACCGGATTTCCAAAGCATGAAATTGGATAGTTAGAACATTATGTCTCCTATTTGTCGCTTTCAAGATGTTCAGGAGATGTAATGAAATTAGGCAGGGCAAAAAATTCTGTGTCCGATTGTGTAGAATATATTCCTTGATTGGACATAAATAGCTTTTATTGTGTCTGCTGGGTGATGTAGTTTAATGTATTACTGTATGCCTAGTAATGAAATTAATATCCATATTATGTAACAATACATGATCTGAAAAAATCTACTATAAAAGCACGTCTACAAAGCTGAGCCTTTCATACTTCATAAATATCTAACAAATAAAGTTAGAGTCTGGCCAGTAATAGCTTCTTCCTTAGGCTCATTTTTGTCTATGGGTGAGGGAAGCAGAGAAACTTACCTAATCTGCTGATCCTCCAAGCGCAAGACCGGACCCTACTGCTCCTGTCCCCCTGCGTGTTAGCGGTCTTGTGCGTGGACTGTTCCTGACATCCATCATGCCCAAAGACTGGCTTTACACATGAGGACGGCAGAAACAGGCCACCACTGGATGTGAGGGGGGAGCATGGTTTTCCTGAGGATTGAAGGATTGGGTAAGCATAGCCTTTCGGTGTGCCCCTGAACAAAATGAGCAGTTAAATCATGCAGTCCAGACAAATTTTGATGGAGTCCTGCTTTAAAGGCTAGGTTCACCTTTAAAAATAAAAAAATAAAAAATGCACATACTTATGCAGGAAGGGAAAAAAAAAAAAAAAAAAACAACACTTTTAAAAAATCAAAAGCATACATTATGTGTAATTCCCAATGAGCCTAATAGGCTCTGCAAAATGCCCAAAATGTCCCCGACAAGGAGGATTCCATCCATGTCTGCTGGCTTGGTCTCAAGTCAAAAGATATTAGCAGCAAATCCACTCATTTCTGGGTTAAAAAATCAGATTTTATTACCGACTTTACTACAGAGGTTTATCCTCTTGTCGTAACAAAACATATGTATTCCAACGCTCTGCTGCAATTCTGTTCTACACAAGGAAGGCAATTCTTTTGTGCTGGAAAGAAACCGTCTCCAGATTTCCAGCTCTCAATAAAATATTGCCAATAAATAGCAACACACACACAACAAAAAAAGTTTCTTTGTTTCTATTATAAAATTTTGCAAACAGGTAATTCTTCTCCTTCACTAGTGTGCATTGATGAGGCTGCACTGATAGGCACTGATGAGGCGGCACGGATAATGTTGCACTGACTGACGGGCACTACTAGGCACCAAATGGTGACACAGGTGGGTGGCACTGATGGGCACAAGTGGGTGGCACTGATAATCAGTGCCGATCCCTTCGCAGACAATTGCCGGGTCTCGGCAGTACTTTCCTCCCGCTGTGACAGCGTGAGAAAAGTGCAGCCGATAACCAGCAACTGTATTTACCCGGTGATCTGCTGTGTCATTGGACACAGCTGATCACGTGGTAAAAGGCTGCTGTGATTGACCTTTTACCATATCACGTGATCAGCTGTGTCTGGATAACACAGCTATCACCGGCGGCGCTGGGAGCACAACACTGGGGCATGTTCAGGGAGCACATCCATGGACATCCTCCCAGAACTAGACAACTGCACTGTAGCCTTCCTTCAGCTATAGCGCAGTTGGGAAGTGGTTAATATGGCATCCATGGTTAATAGCATTCTTTGATAACTAAAAAGATAAAACAAAAACAGAAAATGTACAATATTACAGATGTGCTTGGAGGGGTGTCAGGTAGAAAAGGAGTACGAGTGTACAGGTAAATTAAAATTGGGGGGGGGGGGGGGGGGGGGGACGACGACGACACACACCCCGTAGAATAAAATAGAATTAAAACCACACAAATATGCAGTAATGCTCTGCAGTTCATGTACATTCCTCAATATTTTCCCCATAAGGAAGGCAAGAGCAGGAACCCTAAAGCTGGACTCCAGGGAACTAGAAGTCCTCCCTTGTAGTGGGGTGAACAGCTCTTAATGGGACCTGGAAAAGGACCTTTACCTACTTAATCCTCTGCTCCCGCAGGCCCCTTTGTGCTGTATGATCAATGCTTGTAGTCACTTCTCCCCTACAATACAGCAGTCAGATTTTTCTCTGCCTCCATTAAGAACAATCAAGGACCCATAGCCCTGCACTGGACGTGAGGACAACGAGGGACAGTCCACTGACGGAGTATAGGAGAGCATCACATCAGTATTAAAACTGCTTTTACATCCCCTAGACATTAGCGATTAACCCTTACAATACAGACGCAGCCCCGCTGCAAAAGGAAGCATTTTTAACCCCCCTCCCCCATCTGGAGTTGGGCTTTACAGCCTTCAGTGTTACTTTGATTGATAAGCACCCAGAACAAGGATCCTCCAATATGAAAGTACACACAAGTAAAGCTACATGCAACTTACCTATTGTGGTCTCACAAAATTTCTCTGCAGCCACTTCATTTGCAATGTTAGCCCCCATCAGTACACTAATGTCAATTCCCATCTTCTCACGAATAATGTCAGAAATGAGTTTCAGACCCTCTGGGCCTTCGTCTATACCCTGAAAATATAAATAATTTTTTTTTTTAAAAAGTATAAAAATATACAGGGGAACAAAAACGCACTACCTATGGTCAAGGAAAAACAACATTTGTGTGAATTTGAATTCCAGATGGATAAACAAAATTTAATTAATGGATTATTTAAACAAACATACATTTCATTTCACACAAAAAAAAAAACAAAAAAAAAACCCCCACACACCATAGATATATGCTGGCTTGATAACTGCAATTTATAATCCCATGAATAGCAGCATTCAAAATTCGTGCTGTCAGTCAACAATTCAGCTATGCTTACAGGAGAGGAGAACACAGGTACAACATAACTAGTGTGCTACTGCTCATTCATTATCCATTCACAAAGTTGGTACCAAAACTGTACAGCTTCATTGTTACACATAAAAGTGAGGACACAGGCACCATGGCTTCATTCAGCCATGGCGCTCAGGTCCCAAACTGCCCTCCCCCTTTTTACCTTATTACACACTGTATACCTTTTTCTCTCGCCTATATAGGTTATTTGCATATTGAGGATCTCTGGGTGTCTATATACGGATTACATAGATTTAATCTGTCACTTTATTATTTAACTGCCTCCTGCCCGCCATATAGCACAATGATGGACGCAAGGTGGTTCTCTCGTCCTCCCATTCTAACCGTGCATGCGCGGCTCAAGGAGTGCGCAGCGAGGCAATCGGCGGTGCGCTGTGTCCCTCGGACACAGCGGATCACCGATCAACAGAAAGCCGAAGATATCAGCTTGGTCATGTGATCAGCTGTGTTCAATCACAGCTGATCACATGTAAACAGGGAAATGCCCGTTATCTGCATTTCTCTCCTCACGAGCTGTCACGCTGACAGCTCGAGAGGAGAGCCGGTAATCGGCATTCCTCAGAGGGGACATGTACACAGATCATCAGGGCACTGATGATCAGTGTGCCCTGATGATCTGTGTAGCCCCAGCAGTGCCACCTGCCAGTGCCTCATCAATGCCACAATTCAGTGCCTCATCAATGCACATCAATGCCACATATCAGTACCCATCTGAGCTGCCTTTCAGTGACACCCATCAGTGCTGCCAATCAGTGGTGCCTATCAGTGTGCATCAGTGCCATCTAACAGTGCCAGTCAGTGCCGCCTAACAGTGCCATATAAGTGCTACCTTTCAGTGCCCATCAGTGATGCCTGTCAATGCCACCTACCAGTGCCTCCTCATTAGTGCCACCTATCAGTGTCCATCAGAGAAACCTATCAGTGCCCATCACTACAGCCTCATTAGCGCACATAAGTGAAGGAGAAAAATCACTTATTTACAAAATTTTATAACAAAAACTAAGAAAAAACATTTTTAAATTCCAAAATTTTCAGTGGTTTTCAGTTTAAGAAATATAAAACCCAGAGGTAATTAAATACCACCAAAATAAAGCTGTCAGAAAAAATGATAAAAATTTAATATGGGTACAGTGTTGCATGACCACCCAATTGTCAAAGTGTGACAGCACTGAAAGCTGGAAATTGGCCTGGCTGGAAGGGGCTATAAGTGCCCTGTAGGCTAGCGGTTAAAACACATAGTTATGACTACATAAATGGCAGAATTGATACTCGAGCCATTCAGGATATCGGCAGGTGGTCTTTATACACTTGGTTTCATATTGTATTTTTTTTTTTTTTTTTACATCTATTAAAGTATTGTGTTTACGCCTATGTGATTACAATAAACTTGGTATACACGCTCTTTGTTCCGGAGTGCGTTTATGCCCCTTTTCTTACTAAATGCACCAGCATTCTTTGTATCATGTATTGTGTTGGAGATAGAAAGTTCATTTTCTTTGATACACAGTTTCTCTTTAGTTCTGTTTGTGGAAACTGTGAACTCTCAAAAGGAAAAAAAAAAAAAAAAAAAAAAAAAAAAAAAAAAAAAAAAAAAGTGGAGGTCACTGACTTGGATATGCCATCTGGCAAGGCTGCTTGGATCACAAGATCGGCTTAACAAAACTAAAAATCTTTGACTTGCGCATTTAACTTTTAGATTAAAATAGAAATACATGTAAAAAGCTTAACAATGTATTTGTATTAGAGATGCACAGATACCCTTTTTTTGATTGGAGAGTACGAGCACCCATAGTCTTGGTCATAGGTCTGGGGATTTGAAATCCCGTGGCTCGCTCTCCTCTCAGTGCAGGGATGACAGTACAGGATAGACAGCTTTTTTTATTGGTCGGCACTGTGACTGTCAGCATCTAGTTATGATTCATCTGCACATTCAAGATATTAATAGTCACGCTTTAAGCCATATCTCCCATATTGAATGTGTATGTTTGGAAGTACCTCATTTTGCTACCAATTAGAAAATGTATGTTAAACAACATTACAAGTTTTGAACTTCTAAATTAAAAACACTCTAAACCATTTCAGGTCTCAAACATTAGTTATACAAATTAATACAACATGATTTTACATTTACTGAACAGTCTCAATAAAAAAAAAAAAAAAAAAAAAAAAAAAAAAAAAAAAAAAAAAATTATAATAAAACTTTTTGGGGCTTTCCTGCTGCAAAATACATTTGGGGCCAATCACACGCCTCCCTGATGGTATGGCATGAAGGAGGAATATCTGCCTGTATCTCTGAGCATGGACACCATTGATCCTGGCCAAAATCTCCATTTAAGGAATTGCAGCCCAATCGTGCAAGAAACCTCCACCATGCTGCTATCTCCACCACAACTGCATGTTGCCTGCAGACACGCATTGTACCGCTCTACAGCCCATCGCAAACAAACTGCTTTTTGCTACAGCCAAATATTTCACATTTTCACTCATCAGTCCAAAAGCACCTGCTGTCATTTTTCTACCCCTCAGTTCCTATTTTTTTTCTGTGCATAGTAGAGTCACTTAGCCTTGTTTTCATGTCCTATGCAAAACAGAACTGTGGTGCAGAAAAATGGCAGCAGGCGCTCTGGACTGATGAGTCAAATTTGAAACATCTGACTGTAGCAAAATGCAGTTTGTTCACCGAAATGACGCATGCTGGTGGTTCCTTGCAAGTTGGGGCTGCATTTTTGCAAAAAGAGTTGGAGATTTGGTCAGGATCAAATGTCGTCTTCATTGCTGAGAGATACAGGCAGATACTTATAAATCATGCCATGCCGACAGGGAGTTGGTGTGATTGACCTCAAATTTATTCTGCAGCAGGGCAATGACCCCAAACATAAAGCCAATGTCATGGGGT